TACCCGTTACCATAGTTACTCCTAATACCCGTTACCATAGTTACTCCTAATACCCGTTACCATAGTTACTTCTTATACATGTAACCGTGGTTATTTTAATGCATAATATCACAAATACATGTAACAATAATGAATACTACATAGTTCTTATACCAGTTACAATAGCTCCTTCTAAAAACACCATATAATTACTTTTAATATATGTTAGTATGGTTACCTATAACTCTGTTATCATAGTTACTAATTTGTATTTATTATTCTACGATGTTTAAATATGCTGTCTGCATGAAATATATTTATGTATCTATTATGTATTTATGTATCTATTATGCATTTATGTAAATATCATCTTTAATTTCGCTTGTCTGTTTGTCTGTGCGTGTGTACAAAGTTCATATTTACTTCAGTCTGTCTGTTTGTGTAACTATACATACATGTATCTTTACCTCCGTCTGTCTGTTAGTCTATCGCTATGTGAATATAATCCTTACTTCCGTCGTTTGTTGATCGGCCTGTATGTAAATATTTATATCTGAATGTTTATATAGTCTTTACTTTCGCCTGTCTGTTTGTCGGCCTGTCTGTTAGTAACATCCTTACTACTGCCTGCTTGTTTGTCGGCCTGTATATTAGTATCATCCTTAAATCCGCCTGTCTATCTATCTGTATGTAAATATAATGATTACTTCCGCCTATCTGTTTGTCGGCCTGTATGTTAGTATCATCCTTAAATCCGCCTGTCTATCTACCTGTATGTACATATGATCATTACTTCCCCCTGTCTGTTTGTCGGCCTGTATGTTAGTATCATCCTTAAATCCGCCTGTCTATCTACCTTTATGTAAATATAATTATTACTTCCGCCTGTCTGTTGTGAATATAATCCTTACTTCCGCCTGTCTGTTTGTCGGCCTGTATGTAAGTATAATCCTTAAATCCGCCTGTCTATTTGTCGGCCTATATGTTAGTATCATCCTTAGATCCACCTGTCTATCTATCTGTATGTAAATATAGTTTTTACTTCCGCCTGTCTGTTTGTCTATATTTATGTAGATATAAAAGAAAATATTGCTCAATCACCAGTCGGCGATATCTCCCTACGATGCTTAATCGATGGAAGTAAGTGTTTTGTCACTGTAGATCTATATAGTTTACATACATTATGCATAGAGCACGCCCACATATTGGTCTTAGGTAGGTAAAGTAAACGTCTATAGAGCATATGTGTGTCACTTTATAACGATACGACAGATTCTATCCATAAGTGAAACACTGTCTCGATACCAACAAATACCACGCAAAATATACGTTGTCTGGAAGCATTTGTCTTGATATATTACGAAACTGAATATTGTTAACGTGTTTTCGGTTTTAAAAGAAATGTGTGTATCATACGCTTTATTTCAAAAGAACGTGTGAATACACATTTCCCAGTTAATCTCGATATCGGGTGTTGACATATCATCGTCACGCACGTGTACTATTGTTTACGCGTTGTAACCATAATTTACACTACGGTAATGGAATGCCCGATACGCAATACGAAATGATGACAAAAAAAACATGTGTATCACGAAGGGTGGGAAGTCCTGAAACATTCGATAGTCAAACCTCAATGAAATTATTTCCTAAACTATACATTGATATACCTATTGTTTCTCCTTATGTGTTTATCATTGTAATATTAGGTTGTATTATTGTAAACCTCTTTTGTAACGTATACTGTGCGAAGCTATTGTAGTGCACAACTGACATGTGTTATAAAACAACACTGGAGATAAAACCTATAACGTATATTTGTTATTACTTTAGTCTTTGATAATTCTTATTGCGTTCTGCTGTTTATAAGAATTGAGACGCTTTCACTTATGACGTTGTTTCTGTTATTGAAGAGTTAATAATGTCATAATAAAACAGAAACAAGTTCCGCCATGGCCTGTACCTCCAAAAACTGTAAATACACATTGGATATTTTACCGGCATGACTATTCCGTCTTTGCGTATTGCAGAGTTATCTTCTCTTTGGAGCAGGGATTGATTGTTGCGGCACTTGTTTGTGAGAGAAACGTCATCAATTTTTGAGAAAGCGACGTAATTTTCTCACACAGACCAATGACGTAACAAGCAATACCTGCTCCCAAGAGAAGATAACTCTGCAATACGCTAAGACGGAATAGCTGCGATAAGACATTTCTAAAAATAGAGCCATACCTTGCGGCACATTATTGAAAAAAGCAACAATTGCAATAAACAAAAACAATATCAATAACAGTGTTCTGATTGTAAAACGTATGTGTCGAGGCCAAGGGCCGTATTCATGAAACCGTTCTCATGCTCAAGTATGGATTTTGTGCCCAGCGTGAAGTTATTTTGGGCTCAAGCCAAATTTCTTGTTCCGATTATGAATTTAAAAAAAATCTTATTTTGTCAATGATTTGGAAGACCATTGGAGAGACTTAAAGCCGAAAGCTGTTTTCAGTGTTTACATATGACTTTTTGATCGTTTGACATGATTTAAGCAAGTTAAAAGAAAGTTGGTTTGAGCACAGAATCTATGCCTGAACACGAGAACAGCTTTATGAATACGGGCCCAGGATTCGAACCCTCGACTCCAGGTAGGTATATTATCGCTCTTACTGACTGTGCTACCTTGTCAAAGCAAGTATCCTGGTCCAAATGTGCTACAGCTATATCCAAAACGAAATTAAGGGGAGATTACTGCATATACGAAAAACCACAGTACAGTGGGACAGGGATTCTGAAGTATTTCGATATTACACAGTAATCATTGGAAGCACGGTCTTACTACAAACAGAACACAATACATATCCAGCACACACACAGGCATACACTCATAGGGAGATATTAGCCAGGTGGCATAGGACTAGTAGTTAGCGCCCGATAAGGCAGCTCCTGTGAATTCCTCAATATTGTATTGATTAATATTTATGCTAATTGTATTGACTGTATAAAATTGTATATCTATGTACTGTAAAGCGCTTTAGAGTGGCTTATGTTAGCTAGATAGGGCGCTATATCAAATGTTTTATATTTTAACAAAGCGAGTTATGTTTATTTCAAAGACGTGAAGAAGTGATGCAGCTTTCGCCTTCTTTCATTAAATCGATTAGTACCATCAACAGTTCTGTAATTATAGAAGCCTCATTAGTTCCTTGTTATAAATCACATCAGATGCTAAAAACTACCATACCATTTCTTTCCCGAGGTTTTGTAACGATCGAATGGGAATTTCTTTCACTCTTTAATTTAGTTTCGCCTAAAGCTGTCTTTCGTGCTGTTGGCAAATCGTTCTCTCTCAAATTAGTTTAATGTCTTAATTAAGATCGATAGAGAATTTGTTTGTTCAGCAATTCTTGCTTTTTTTCCCTATAGGAACTGTGTCTCCGACGCCAGTGATGCCTCCATATTAAAAGCAATCGACCAAACTTGGAGGACGCTGCTCAGTTAACGATTTGAAGTCCGTGACCTAGTTTTAATATCTATTTGAAGAGCAACTTTCAGAAACGCCTGAAGATTCATCTTACACCTCCATACAAAACTGTTATCACGGTAGACGTATAACCCTGACCGGTCCCGTGTATAATGGCAATGCGATGGCTATCAATAACCATGACAATTTACATAACGACGTCGGGGAAACATGTGAACCATGCAAAGCTCGCTGATAAGAACTTATTGATTTCAACCTAGGACGTTAATGGAATTTTTTTTTTCTGACAATACAAAAAATAATTACAAATCATTCGTATTTGACTTAGCTATTAGACGTCCTAGGCCCCCAATAACAGTGACGTTCCCGACTTTAAACCTTTTGTTCTTTATAGTCAGAGCAGAAGGCGCCATTGAGTGGAGAATGGGGAGGGGCCACACCTCATAATAATATCACATCAGTTACCCTCTGGGAGATCAAACATCAAAGCCGTTTGGAAATGTTTTACTGTATAAAAGAAAAAACTTTAATCATTTTGAGACAAAAAAATGAAATATGAACATAAATATGTCGTATTGCTGACAACACATCTGTTGAAATGGATGGTGTATAATCACGAGAAGTCTTAAAGTCGTCCTAGAGGTCCTGCTAGCATGACAACCGCCTTTCAATCTCCTCACTAGGTAGTTTTCCATGTGATATCCAGTTTTACATCAAGCTGTTCTATAGCTTGTATCAACGAAAAGACATCATACACAATGGCACGTATATGTATGTCATTCCTCGGGGATATTGGAAAACCCATCAGCATGTATCACGATCGTTATATAATCGCAGTGTCGGAGTTCCTGGTCGATATCTTCTTCTACCAATCGTTGACCTGCTACATCGCCTCTGATTTGTTTAAAATGGCTATCGTAGAGAAATGTGTTTTCTTAATCTTTCTAAACCGGATTATTCTATGCTACATACACAGCGACTGTGCACAACTGATCGTATACACTCAAGTAGACATACAACGCTGCGTACTCCTCCTCTAAAGCCACTGCTTCCTTGGACATAATCACCCGCCTGCAGCGAAGAATAAATGAATAAACGAAACGCAGGATATGCCCTTGTGTTGCTATACATTTTTGAAGACAGGGAAATAAACGTGTCAACGCTCACTCCGTATTCAATCTTTGAAGGAAATTGCCTTAATTCAAAAACGGTAAATGCCAGAATAAAAAAAAAATGGCATTTTTCGCCAAAACTCAATTTATAAACAAACTTGAACCATATTTTTCTTAATCTAAATCGAAGACAGGGTGAGAGTATCTGAATGTTTTTTTTTCGACCGTATTTGTTTAATTTCTGTCAACACTGGGTTTCATCACAGGAAATCGCATTGTGCCACCTGATCCATCACTCGGAGACCATTCTAACAAATCAGAGTCTGTAATAATCAACAGATAAACTGGAATCGACTTCATATTGAAAAGCGGCCTTCCGACACGCCATCTGTCATCAGGTGTTTGTATGTAAATTTTACTCCTCTATGGTCATGAAATGAAAAATCTAACTGGAGCCGAATCCTACCTTACATTGAGCGTGTTAGTCACTACGAGGACCAAAATCAATATCGATCCCTGTACATACTGATATAGGTGAGTTCATCTATACAAACATACAATGCTGTACCATGGTTAGACAGTATTATGGGATGGGTGATCGACACAATGACATTCTTCCGCATATGTATCATATATCTTTATTTCCGCCTAGATGAATGGTTTCAAAATATATATGTATATGTAACATTATAAATTGCAAGGCTAGCTGATGAGTAATTTAAAGGAAATTGCTCCTGTGTGAGTAACTAAGCTCATACAATCATTGCGTGTCCCTGATTCAAACCAACGGTCGGTATGACAAAGGTTGTATAGCCACAAATACACAGTCGTATGTCTATTAAACTATCGATGGTATAATTTCATCATTTGAACAATGCATTTTATACAATCAGATTATTTTAAGCTGTATTGGAAGATCCTCGAAGCAGTTTATAAATTGGACTGTGATGTACCAGAGAGTGTTACGCACACTTGATTCTATATTGATATGTAGCGTTGATAGATTGTCTTTGTCCGTTTTGTACATTGTACAATGTAGGGACATATGTGACGGGAAGTCATTGTATGTTACACCACAAAATGAAATAGCTCAATTATATTAGTAGTTCATTTGTCAACATACACGATAATAATTGTCCTGACCTGGATTGATGGGAACTTTAAGGCTAGTTTCTACTGGTTACGTGGACAAATAATAAGGAAATATATGTCATACATCATTACATTATGTTTTAAATGATACACTGGTTTATACTGTACTGATTACCGCAATGTCCTGCTAGGAAAAACAGACAATGAAATATACTTGATTGTATATAATTGAACAAATAATATATTTGTAATTTTTATCACAGTATCAGAAAAAAACCGTTTCAGGCAATAATAATGCAGATGATGTACATATGTAGACGTTAAACAAATAAACTATTATTCGAGGTTTTGCTTTTCATTTTGCAAAGGCGCCCAAGAGGCTTACATTTTCCTTTTTTAATATGAACGTAGACTTCGATTAACGTCCATCCTATAGGGAGTAAGTCATATCGGTTTTTGTTTTAGAAATAAACATTTGAATTGCTTCACAGAAAAATTCTGAGCGCCTTCTTGTGTATTATGTTCTGTCGTAGATAACTGTTGTACGTCACACCCATACAAAGAAAATGAGCAAAAAACTAACTATAATTTTTCGTCAACTGTAAATGGATTGGAGTCCCTAAATGTGCTCCAGACCTTGTAAGAGCCGCATACCCTCAGTCGGTATTGGGTTTACTAACTTTAGAGTTATCGATTTGCAATGCTCACTTTCTTTGTCTACCTTGCAAGCTTATTGCTCACGCCTCGCCAATTTTGACATCCTTCATGAGAAACCTATCTCTTTCATGATCAATATTATCATGATCACAATGATTTCAAGTAACGGATTATGTGGGCTGGTTGGTCGATTGCTTAACACCCCGGCTTTCAACGCATGCGGCCGGGGTTCGATCCCCGAAGTCGTCGTACGCATGGATATTCCGTGAAAATGTTTTTCTCTTGCTCACACAACTCCAACAACCAAGGTGGAGTATAAATTGGTCTGGGTTGGATGTTGCGGTATCTGTGCTGTAGCATTCAAGTGAGGTGGCACTATAAATGATGCCGTTGGAAGCACGGTCCCACTACAAACAGAACAAATTACAGAGTAAAACCCAGCACACACGCAGGCATACACACTTATGGAGATATTAGCCAGGTGGCATAGGACTAGTAGTTAGCGCCTGATAAGGCTTGCAAATTCCTCAAAATTGTATTGATTGTATATCTATATATTCTAAAGCGCTTAAGTGTGGTTTATGTAGGGCGCTATATCAAATGTTATATATTAATTTCTTTAAAAAAATACGAAAAAATACCCCAGGCTTCCACAACTTGTGTACGTTCACAAGGAGTTGTACCAATTTATATAATTTCTTCCTAGCTTCCAATGGTACTACGAGACGAACGACGAACGAAAACGTTGCCAGCGACTTGCACTTTCATGGATAATGTATATTTACATAATTATGTCAAAAGTGCGGCATTAACATTACCTGGATTTTCTTATTCTATTGTTATACTCTAAAACAAATAATATTTTCTCGTGTCGTGCAATTTGAATCGCATACATGGTAAATTATGCAAAACTAAAACATTCAATTTGCTATGAGGAGGCATAAAAAAATGTAAATGCTTTCACTATCTTAACCAAGTAGTGCATTTCCCTTAACAGTACTCTTCATTGAACGTATTATTTCACGGCTCACTTTCCTTTTAACCTTTGTCTTCGGATTCAAAGTGTCCGTCATTCTAAGCTTCCTCCGGAACTTACATTACACATATATCTATCGGTACAATGAGAACCGAATGCAGATTCTACCTGATTAAATCAGATGTGGAGCGTACGTCTACCGAACAAAGCACATTTTGTGATAGTTTTTCCTTGTATAAGCACTGCTATGCATATAGATAATGTTTCTGTAGTTCGATTTTAATGATAACAATCATGTACATCTCCATGACAACGCCTCAAACCTAAGCCAACAGTGGTTGTACACATCACCAATCTTCTATAACGTTGCAATTATACATAACTAACTGACCCTTATTTTAAATGACGCTTTAACGTTTCTAATCTTCTTTTCTTTTCTGTGTATTTCCAGATTCATCACCAGTATGCGCCTTGACGTTACTTCCGGTTGACTCTCCTATCCCTCACAATGATGGCCGATTGTGACTCCTCCCCCGACCACACTCCCTCAAGGGATTCTGATTCCTCGGAGGTCAGGGCTATATTATGGGGGAGACTCGGGCGACGCCTGGAGAGTGGCTCAAATGAAACTCCGGCTATTGCAGAGCAAACAGAACCGACTTCCGGAACTACTTTTCCGCCGTCTGTGAAACGACCCACGCGTTTAAGTGATGAATGGAACGAACTTCGAAGACTGCGCGGCAGCCCTGATGGTCAGGATAATGTTTCCATTCCATCGCACAGAATGGAAAGCAGACGTTCCATATGGAAGAACTTCATATCCCTGTGCACAAGTCTAATGTGTGCTTTTATATCCTTCCTGCCGTTACGAAATATTCAGAGTAGTCTATATACGAACTACCATCTAGGGACCTTATCACTGGCAGTGATTTACGGTAGTTTTATCATAGGGTGTGTAATGTCCTCTTGGATTGCACAGAATGCCAGGCCAAAAGGTCTCATCCTCGTTTCCGTCTTCAGTCACGTGCTATTTGTGGCGGCAAATATGTTCCCAGCATTCATCACGTTGATCCCCGCTTCCTGTCTGTTTGGATTTCTTCAGGCACCGTTGTGGTCAGTACAAGAACTTCTGATTGGCAGCTACGGCACCAGTTATTCCGCCGTTACCGGCATGAGAATGGAACGCTCCATACAACAATTTCAAGGAGTGTTCGTAATATTTTGTCACTCGGCACAAATATTTGGAAATCTTTTGGAATCGCTTGTGTTGGGCATGGACGATACTGCAACCAACGTCATGTTTCATGGGAACTACTCTAATTACTTACGGGAAGAGTCCGCCTCGACAAACTGCACCTCCCCATGTAAAACACCAATAGCATATCCCTTTAACGCTTTTGGGTATGAAATTTTCCCCAATACTATGTTACTAGACGGAAGGTTACACCAGGTAGAGATTCTAAAAATAATCTTCCTGGCTATTGGGTGTGTGTCTGTTACCCTAGTAGGGTGTTGTTTACGAAAACCAGACATCATTCTGAACAAAAGGAAAATGTGTTTAAAAGAAAAGGTTCAGGAAAGTTTAAGTTTCTTTAGGACAAAAACATTCCTCATGCTTGGATTATTGATGATATTTACCGGCATGCAACAGGGGATCGTCATCAATGACGTCACAAAGGTAAGCATTATTATTTTCCCAAAAGTTACAAGACATGGCTAGAAGTGTTAATGTATCAATCTGTCCGAGCTTGGAGGCTCAAGATGTAACAGCTTGCCGCGATGTTTTGAGTCGTTCATGTACCAAAAGTGCCTTACATATTCTTTAAACTTAGTAGCTTATTCGTGCTCAATTATATTCAGGGTAAACTAGAACACAAGGACACACCATGAATTAAAAAAAAGAAAAACAGTCAGTGCGGTTTGTCGAGTTATCAACTAATTTCCAGACTTAATGGTTGGTATATACCCTCATTCACATACAGTTTATTCGTCTTTAGGCTTCTTGATATGCTTACTGCTTGATATTTGTATATGCACTGCCAAGGGGATATCGTCTTAATGCTATAAACCGAAGTCGATGTCACGTTTGACTCTCGTTTGTGATTTTGGATGAAAAATACATTTCTATTCCACCATGAAACCATGGTAATAAATATTTGGTTATATTAATACCTTTTTAGATGGAAAGATTATAATGAAAATCGTAATTAGTCTTTCTTCGGCCATTCCATAGGTTATTCCCTTTAACATCAAACAAGTTCCCAGTAACTCGTTGACCGCCATGTCCATGTCCCGCTTCGTATGACATGTCTGTATCACTATTGGTGGGATCAAATAGCACGACCAAAGAAAACTGTCTTTCCAGATCTCAAAAGGATGTCGGCCAGAAATACCATGTCTGGTCTTGATTCCTTCGCCAACTCAGCCTTAAACATGTTTCTTCAATATTAACAAATAACTTGACGGCGACATGCTCTCCGTGGTGACCGTATTACTAAATTTCGAATTTAACATGCCTCCGCGTTGTAACCTCATTTATGCAAAAGGTTTAAAATCAAATTGATGAACAAATAATTTTGTTCTCGTTCTTTGATGATTGTTACAATTCAAAATGTGATTGACCGTTATAAAGACTTATTATCTGAAATGTACGGGTCACAAACAGCACCATCATCATCTTTAATTGATTTACGGAGTTGCTGACCGGTCATGGGTTTACATGGAGGCATTCCGTTAATTACGGTATCAGTTGACGCGCTGATTACAGGTGGGAGAACCGGTAGATATAGAGACCGTTAATTAGCCTCGCGCTGAAACAGAACAATACACGCGCAGGTCCCATTACAGATGACAATGTGTCCAGGGACGATGATAATACGACAGTCTTTAATTAGCGCTGTTCCACCGACTCATCACTGTTATCAAAGAGCTGCCAATGCAGTCTATCTCGTCTTGAAGAATTTATTTGACAGATCGTGGTCGCCCCATAAGTAACAAGCTGGATTAAATATAGGCTAAGATACCTGATAAGTATCGATACATGATCGGATGGTTTTCCATTTAGATATGTTTCTTGACCATGTTATAAAATCGTTCTATAAGATTCTATCGATAAAAGAAGTGTCTTTCGGATTGAGCTTGAGGAAGGTCAAAAGAGAGTTCATTTTAATAAACCAAAATAAAATTGTGGTACTTTAAAAATACCGTGGTTTGTTTTCAGAACATATGTCTCTTACAACTCAAGTAATTGGATAAGCTAACACTTTTAATTCTAATCTTGCTACCAACAACTCAGGAAAATATCGCATCATGTGAATACATCACCAACATTGGACCCTTTTTTTTATATGACAAAACAATGTTAATTTCAAGATATAACGTGTAGGTAATGAATTAAATGAATGATTTCTTGTTGAATATAATAGCACATGTTTGGCAGAACCTTCAGTATTTCACTCCTCATTTGTGCTTGGGAAAATATCTGGTATTCTATCTCATATATTTTATTGTCCCGGGTCAAAAGGTCATTGTGTCCTTGACGTCAGCAGCTATTCCATTAAGTGTCCGTTGTATTGTACCACACCTGTAAACGGGCTACCATGAAATGTCTTTATTAACAAAAATAGACAATCTGACATGTATCTGATCGAGTTAAGTTCTTAGGTACAATCTGACGGACACGACGTCCTAAGTCCGATTTACTTTACAGGTTGTCCAATGAATTATTCACCAAGATAAAGATTACGTCTGGCAATGTACGTTAGCAGCTTCTCATTTATTACCAATCGTGTATCTTAACATAGCTGTGGACTTTAAACGTAAGAGCTTAATCGATAAGTTATGCTAAAATCACCTTTATGGGGAATTCAGAATTTATAAGATTTCTTTTCAGGAGATGAAAGTTAGCATATCACTTCATTCAAACGTAATCAAAGCAAATAGAATGGAGATATTGATTTACTTTATTATATACATAATGTTATAAGAGTTTTGTGTTGAATTATACATAACATTTTAACAGACAATACGTGAAATAGAAGATAGATAGTCAATGCAGTCGAAAATTTACTAAACATCTAATGTAAATGTGTAATGCAGTTATCAAACAAACCTGTTACCTGTTCGGCCGAACACTAAAAGTCATATTAAAGCAAGCCACCTCTAAGCTGGTCCTTCCCATAGCCTACTACCAGTAAACTGTCTAGCCTCCACAAATACGGGCATTCTTCCATCCATCAACTACTATTATAATTGTCCTACTGTTCAATTTTGGGAAGACAGATGTTTTTGTTTTAAACAAGCGTTTCGCATTCTTCAGTGAGTTATGCTACTTCTGCTGAAACGAGTTAACAGTCATGACAGAAACAACAAGTGAATACCGAAGTGTCAACAAAACCGTAACTACAACTCCAGAAATCAGTAAAAGGAGTAACCCAGGTAGTCCGGAAGGGTAAGCGTTATCTGCTTCATATTCGATATTACCATAATAATAATAATAATAATAATAATAATATACAACATTTGATATAGCGCCCTATCTACCATGTGCATCTAGGTCATATTTTAGTCACGTCATAAAAGCTAGAATTTAGTCGTGACAACCAAACAACAAGGCACACCTGTGAGTGTAATAAAACCAATGACCTTCTTATGACACAAAGAAATATAGACCGTCCTCGTGAGATCAGGAAGGCAACCATTACAATTCTCCATAGTCTTCATCAAGTTGCATCATTGGAAACCGTGTTGTAAGGTTGTCCGTGAACAGTCGACATCTATCAAAGGAATCATGAAATGTGTAGCAAGCTCGTGAATACCGAATCAACTGCGACATGTAAACGTCACAGGTTGGGCAAGCATTGGTGTCACTATCAAGAAAGAGAGAGATAATTCACTTGGTAGCGTCATCGTCACACCCATCGTAGTAGTAGTAAGCCGTCTTTGTTGGTCATATTGTAAATAAAGATAGATAAATAGGGGCTTAAGTAAACAAATATGAACTGTCCTTGATTTCAAGTTCAATAGGTAGGATAATGATTTTGTCGTAGAGTTTGGTATCGAGGTGATCATAGTGCGAAAGGTAATTGCTATTACAAAACAAAATATTCTCAGTATGTGTCTTACAATGGACAATAACTTATCACCGTCTTTTATAATCTTCTGATATTTTCTGTTTGATAAAAATACAAAGAAAAAAAGCAGCTCAGTGTAATTTCCAATCACGCCTTATTGGATTAATGTTAGAGAGCATTTGTCGATTAAGAATGATTGTACGCAAATTCCTTTCCAATCATCTTTTTCCTTACCATTACCAAAAACGGTTTCAGTTCGTTGACACACTGACATTCATATTGCTGTTGCCAGATTAAGGCAAATCATTTGATAAACGTCTATGTATGATAACGAACACAAACACCTGGAATAAATCCTGTAGTGAACCTATAATAAATGATCATGTTGGATTGCTTTTACATTCACAGAATTGTATTTAGTTATATTGAACGCAAGACAGTTTAATTCTTGAAAGAACTATCCAGCGAATAAACGCAAAAAAATCCCTCGCAGAACATTGCATGGGATGTGAGAAAATAATTCTAAACTACCTTCGTTTATTGTGGTCTATAGGGCACGACCAGTTAAACCAGAGGTCATATCCGAGTAGTAGAACAGGTGCTAGAAATATTAAGCAATAAGCACATGTTAGATATTTATTATATAGAAGCAGAATCCCCAACAAAATGAACATTTAATGGCCGTTTCGTCCATTTAAGACTCATTAATGGTTTCTAAGATCAAAAGAATAATATACCATATCAAATGTTCCGAAATATATCTGCTATACAAAAAGAAGAGAAAGGTGTATGATGATCAACCAGAGGGTTCTGTGTATGTCCCTGAACTGTTTTCGAAACCGGCTTGATATACACTCAGGAAATGGAGAGTCGCTAAATGACGACGACTTCAAGGTAGAAATCCATACATAGAACATTAATTGCGGCCATAATATATCTAACAGCAGTAGTATTTTTTTTGTATTCGAATGTTGGAATATCGTGTGAGAGGATTTGTATCTTATTCGAGAAACCTGCCATTAAAGCCATCAAGAGATTTTTTCGTTCCAAATAAGGATCAGTGCTGTTTTAGCGAACCTTGGAACCATCAAGACCGGCATCAATCTTGATTGGTCCGCCGCATTTTAGCACTGGAAATGTTCCATTTCCGTGCGAATTAACAAAACAATTATGTTTCACCTGACATAGAAAAATTCCTGAGGAATAAGAAGCTGTCTTACGTACAGTAATTACCGGTGTCCTGGAGTTCCTGATGTTCACCAAGGCTGCCTTGTACATATATACTCATTACAGATTGGGCAGGGAAATCAATTGGAGAACACCCGATATAGATTTTGAGACTTGGTGACTCGGTGCAATATACTTATCAAATATATCTCTGTAAATAATCACAGTTCCCGACGGAATATGTACCACTGATTGAAAACAATCGACACTGTGTCATTCGGTTCGAATGAATTAGTCATATACAACAAAACCCTTGTTACTCCCGAAGGGCCTTTTGTTAAACGGATGAAAAAATCCGATATTCTGAAACACCTTGGTATTACCATTTACGAACATATAAAGCGACAATGCAAAATTAAAAACCCGATTACGATTTAAATAGTTTTAAAATTATTAAACACGTAATATTATTGATCCACATTTTCCCTCTCTCTTAATGAAAGACAAGAAAAAATCCCCAATTACTCTGATGACATTTCGTGATTTTGGAGAATTGTTTGTTTATAGCCAATATCCGGATATTACGCGTTGCAGTCTCGCGTACTACTGCCTTTTGCAGGAGAACGTCCCGTTGTCATGGAAATAAACTGATTCAATATTTCTAATTGAGAATCATACCATAATTAACGTTAAATTCCAGATTGATTTCGTAATAATTGGAACTTTTCGCTCGCCTTGCCCGGTAAACCAGTGAGCTTATGCTATGACGCACCTTTTGCCCTTCGTCAGACCGTCGACCGTCGTGTGTCTTCTGCCAATGTTTTCATTTTAAACATTATTTATATTGAACAGCTGATTAGATTTCAACCAAATTTCCTATGTTATGTCCTTAGGATAAGAGACAAAACATGGTATAAAGGAAGGATGTGGAGGGTATAGACATTACATAACTCCCACACTTGATAGGTACATGATATACAGAAACCTCCTGCTAAACTTTAAAAATCTGATTCGCGAGTCAAGTTTTCTCTGTCTATCTCATAAAGGAGTGTTCCATTATATTTCTCTCATTTCCCCGTGTGTAAGATAGAGCTTTCTCTAACCCTGGACAGGTGTATCCGCACTTTTACCGGTGTGAGATTACCTTGTCTCACCCTAGGGTTGAGACGGGGGGATTCCCCTATTCATAAAAATGGTATGACGTCACTTCAGCAAAAAAATGACGTCACGTCAACAATCCATCAACGTCACGTCAACCCTGAATTTAGCATGTAACGTTATCATTACATTGTGTATATGATACAGATCGGGGGAACAGGGTAAGAGAAAAAAAAAATCACCCTTTTGTGGGTAAGATAGAGGAATCTCAACCCTCGGGGAAAAAATCTTAAGTTGCCAAACACTCGGCAAAGCCTCGTGTTTGGCAACATAAGAATCTTCCCCCTCGGGTTGAGATATCCCTATCTCACCCCAAAGGGGGTGAAAGATTCTATTAGTCCAGGGTAGGAAAGGGTATAGGAAATTTCTATCTTACACCCCATTTCACGTGACGTGACGTCAGAAAGGCTCAACAATGACGTGACGTCACGAATTCGGTACTATCCGATGCTGCAATGCGAAAAAGGCGACGTGATGAAATTATAACCTTTTACGATATATTTACCGTACACGTTACAAAGATGTGATTAATTTTTCGGCGCAAACATTGTTTGCAAATATGGAATATGCTTAATATGGCTGGCTGATTCGTTTTTGTTTGAAATGTTCAGGGAAAATTTATATTTTCAAAATGGTGGCCAGTCCAAACGCATTTTCAAGGTTTCTTGGTTTATTCTGGTGGTTGGGATTAGAGAAAAATAATCTTTCATGCCCGAGGGTGTAGGACAGTAAAATTCCGATCTCGGGATTTTCAAATTTGGCAAAACCCTCGGCAAAGCCTTGGGTTTTACCAAATTTGAAACCCCTCGGGTGGAATTTCCCTGTCCTACACCCATGTGTATGAATTAGTCTTATATTATACAACTGGAAACAGAGAGACTTTCCTGAGGCTTAGGCAATCTTAAGATTTCCCACTCGCTTTCTTTTTGTTTGGTTATGACTTGAGTTTCAAAAAATCGATATCCTTCTTCAAAACTGAAAATGCCTGATCCTAATAAGTACTTCCTTGTTTGTCTGTCGTTTCCAGGTATACGGTACAGACGGACTGGGTCTGTCCATGGTGGGCTACTTCATGATGTGCTACGGGACTTGCCAGTTAGCAACTCTGCTCGTTTTGGAAAGGTTCCAGAAACGAGTTAAACCTATAGTGTTTGTCCTAAAAGGTGGGTATTTATCACAGGTGAATAAGGATACACTTTAGAAATCGTATACCTGTTATAACAGAACCACAGTATCCTCTTACGTAGAACAACGACTTTGTGAACCGCATTCTTTGTTACTTATACTAAAAGAACGATAGGTTTGTTGAGATGTGTGTGCAGTTTTGGTTGATGATATATTTTCTGTTTTCACTGTATGCTTCAGCTAGAAACTCCTCTAAAGAAAAGGAATGTAGCGCTTGTTGTTCATATCCTTATGATATAGTCTCGTAACAAAGGGTCACGAATATCTTAAATGACATATATAGTAGAAGACCGGATATCAGTCGAGTAGCGGCAGATTTTTTTATTATAAATACTTGACGTTTGTAATGTAAGCGAATTGCTCAAAGTTACTCATCCCTATCCGATTTGGTGTCTGGTACTATACATTGTAAATGTAACTGACGTGAGAGACGATAGTGAAACAGATTTGTAAGAATGTTTTTACAAAGTAAAGTCCTCGCTGGCGTATTCTGTTGATTTCAACACATTTTAGATAATCACATTAAGAAGTGATAAGAAGGCATCTAATTTTGGTTTGCTGATGCAGCATACCAAAATAGAAGAAGAGCATGTCAAGAAAACCGTTGGGCAATATATACATGAATAAAGAATTATTTACATTAAAACCATGCAAAAAGTACAAGAAGTATAATGTTAGAATTCCATAAGGATAGGCGTTTCTGAAGGTCAAGAAATGTTGAGTCAGGATTTAGCCCTTACGAAATACTTACTATCAGTTAAGTATCCTAAATAATAAAATCCTCTTAATATTTTCCTTTAACCTTCTATTAAATGAATTCAAACACGAACAGTGTGGTATAAATATATCCTTACATGTTCAGTAATACTTGTTCAGCGAGTTTTTTATTTCTTTCCTTTAGAAAAGATCCCTCAGCATTTTGTTTTATTTCGGGAAATGGTTCCTTTAAACCCCTCAAATTGTAGCACAAACTATTTAGTGATATAAAAATTCAAAGGAATAATTAGAGATTTGATTAATTTCGTTCGGAATTTGCTTTCATGTTTTTCTTCGAAGATTGGCAATTTGAACACTTGAATCGGAAACTAAGCATTCCTTCGTGATGTAACCTCGGATGAAGTCAGTTCTGTATTAGGTAGCCAATTATCAGTGGAAAGCAATACCGCGGGCGCTATTTCAAATAAATCAATTTACGACTATGCTTAATCACATAGAAACGCTCCTAGCGTTAATAATTTCGTTTTCAACGACGTTCGGAACACAAATCCATCCATCAATAATACTCCATTACACTAAGTGGAATATTGTGTACCTTCGAATTACATCGTCTTTATACATTGTAGCGCCTTTGCGTAATGGACGACAGTTACACAAGGAACGGCATAACATGGTACCATCAAGGGACATGGTTAGCGATGATAACTAACTCCTAGATATTTATAATGAATTTGTTTGGTCCCATACTTTTATTTTAACACACCGTGTATCAACTTCGTTACGAAGATATTCTGTTTCTCACATAACAAATGCAGTTATATATCAAATGTATGCCGCGTCTTCACATCACATCACAGGTGTGGGGGAAATACGCTATGCGATATTTCTTCTCTCAACACTTTAAATATCGTAAACTCACATGTTCAATTATTTTTTACATAAGTAGTTCAAACTGTACAATGTCTGATAAATCCTTGCCATATCCGGGCTGATGCCAAACATGTCCGGTAAAATTTAAAAGATACTCAATCGTCACAGATTGATGTCGGATCATTTCGACAGCGTAGATGAAAACCTCTTCGGCAGACAAATATTGCCAAGTAAGTGTGTGCTGATCAGGGGCGTCCATCTGGGGAATCCTGAAATCTAGAAAAAGACTCTGAAGTAGAGAATAAAAATGTGATATATAGATTCCTGATACACGGAACAGGTTAAGCTTTAGAGAATTAACTGTGACATTTTAGAACAATCTCTAAAGTAGCGAATCACCTATGAGATTAAAATCCTTATTGGTAATGAATCGCGATGTAAACCCCTGATACTCCAAATAGGAAAAGCGAATCGATAGCGACATGTAAACTGTATAAGCAGTGTAGGATGTAATTTTACTACTTACGAACAAAAAATTGAAGTCGTTACGTTGTCATAAAATCCGGTATTGTGTTGAATGTTATTCATATCAGGTTTATATATCACGTTCTTGACGATAAATGAAATGCAGCGAATTCGTAAAAGTCTTTTTTATTTAACGGCATACACCGTCAATATAATATATCGGTGTGAAATTTAAGTTTCGGACGACAGGTGTTTTATCACCTTTATTTCATAACTCTTAAATTAAGTCAGTTTCTTGAAAATATCAAATCAAATCATTGCACAGATGATTCCTATAAGAACACCGAGCTACTGCTGGAATGATCTTCCACAAAATTCAACGCTAGTGTCGTCGACCAAAACTGATCATTTTGTTATCATGTTTAGCAAAATAAATATAGTTTCCAATGAAAAGATATGTTTCAGTGTTAACCTGTTTAAAACAAGAGGATAGAGGTATCAAGTAAGCGGGAGGAATTGAGGTATACAGGTTGGAGAGGACGCTTGAACAGAATTGTAAATATCTCAAATTTAATGTTATTAAACTTTTTAAAATCCACTTTCGATTAACACCGCTATGTAAAGCCGATCTTGGAACTTATTGCCAATTTCCCTATTTACAGGGGTTAGTATGGAACTATGCATAAGTAACAACTGGAAACCAAGCCTATGTTATGAATATAAATAAGGAACATATTGTCATGCTTGAAACAGGTTTGAGCTCAATTCTGTCTACCAATATAAAAGCCGACAGATGAAAACCGTCCCTATATAACGTGCCTGCAATTACACGACCACCACAAACACCCCGATAGTGACTAGACACGCCATTTGTTTTATATTTCGTCTCACCCTTGTGACATTTCCAAATTGTAAACGTCTACTGTCATCTTTAATAACCTCCAAATATCTCAACGTCTCTGTGCTCGACTCCCTGTCTACCTAAATGGTACTGAAGATAATTACTGAGATAGATATTATATCAAGTTCCCTCCTTACGATGATAAGTTATTTCCCACTAGATTAACAGCCTCAATTAGCTTGCTGTAGTTTTATTGGTCTTGCCAGCGTAATTATCTGTATTACTTAACATGACTCCTGGATATACACGCTCTATTGATAAATCTGTAACACTACCACAGAGTTCTCTCCTTTAGATATGGCTTCACCATGTATTAGACTTACCGAGTTCTTTGAATTGACTGGAGACATCATGACGAGTGCCATATGTGATTCAGAAAACTTGCATTACCTTATATCGCCTCCATTTTGGGTGATGAGGGTTCCAGGGGCATTCCTTTTTGTTTGCTGTGTCCTCAGTTCCAGTTAAGTTGTCTTTTCGTATCAACCCAAGTCTGTCGTTTGTCATCGGACGTTGAGGCAGTGCTAAATATGTTTATACTTCAAACTGTTCCGTTAGTTGTAACATGCTGTAAAATACCTTACGTTACTACATATTTCCAATCTTTAATCACTGGGATAACACCATCATATAATAAATCTGGTGTGTGTATCAGCACATGTGCTCAGGGATTAAAACGGCATATTTCTTATGATTTTTTTCTACTCTATTTCTTAGTCAAGGAAATTTTGTTTTCTCTACCTTGTTTAGTAAAGCAAATTATAATTTTAGAGTGATGTCTAACTCGTTTTTATGGCATTGAAGTTGTGAACGGAGTTTGATAGCGTATCTATTTGAAACTAGTCCAATGCTCTCTACGTGAACTGGAACTCATTGCATTTATTAATACAGGCGTTACCTGATGTTATAAGTTATTTTGATCCACTCTTACATTATTTAGGGAGAACGGCTGTAGTTTGTTCAATTCATTCGTATTCTAATTATATAATTATGCTCCCACACTCGCTGGCTAATGACTGTTACAATTATATTTCTTTTCATTTATACTGATTCAACTGATTGTGGGCTATTGCCTTTCACAACATAGTCTTCTGGTTTTCTGATCAGAATTTATAATTCTTAAATCTACTTTGCAGATTTCCTGATGTTGTAGGCGAACGGTTTGTCTTTCATAACACATTCTCCTTTAAAGATTTGCTGACAGTGTTGGTCATTGGATTGCCTTTGACAACATACCATCCTTTGTGTTACTAAAATGATTCTTGATGTGTTAGCTATTGCTGTTCACATTTACTAGTTTCTGATGTTGTTTCAAATTACATTTCACCACCTACCCGTTAGTTACCTTATTTTAACGATGTCCTGATATTGTTGGCCATTACCTTTCACAACATACTTTCCTTTATCACATAATGTGCCGTGTTATCCAGTGAATATACCCATGTCATGTGTTTGGCGTATTGACCCATGTAATATGACCTATCGGCCCTGTGATTGGTTGTAAGTTCCAATTGTTTCAATTGTGACGTCACGCATAGGACAAGTACATGACGTCACAGACTCACGCACTGGAATCAAAATGGCGGCTTTTTACATTACAAAGCTGCATGAAAATTATGGTTTTACACGAATAAATGCCACAAATCTTGATTAAGTGATAAAAAGGATCTTACACTCGTTTTCATTTCATATGAAATGGAAACTAATGTAAGATCCTATATTTATCTTTATTTCTTATATGTTAGCTATTACCTTCCCCACTATACTCCACTTTCCTTTACAGGTTTCCTGATCTCGCTCGGACTTCTGATCTTGCTCTATGTTTGGGAGCCGGCAGACGACTGTGTCTATACCGTCCTTGGATATATGGCTCTCTGGGGGGCAGTGGACGCGGTCTGGCAGTCTCAAGTTCAAAGTAGGTTTTGACCATAGGTCAAATCAAAAGTACGTCTAGAGACTAATAAGTAGTAACGGTACAATGTTGATACTGACTGGTTGTCATGGTTACAAAGTGGTTTTAACATATCCTTAATACCTGGATACCTTTGACTCCTGGTTATACCCAAAGGTTGAGAGTCACAGTATGTTACATTTGTTTTACCATACTTAATACAAACATTTCCTTTATGAAAGTGTGTTTTTTAATTATTTAATGTAGCTTCTAGTGTGTTTTACTCTTTGTAAATTAGCATATCGATTTTTCTGATGTATATTGAAGCCAGGATTAACGATACATTAGCGCATAGGCGAGGCAATGCTTCTAGCTTATCTGGGTAACGCAGTATTGTATATCACAAAATCTCACGACCTGGAATTCCGCTGAGATAGCAAAAACTCTAGCGAATAGCTGTGCATGACAGAACCATCGTCGCAACTAATCAGTTGTAATGGAAAGACTCAGGGGCCCAGATAATGTTAGTAATTGAAATGGGAATTTAAAAAGGATGATCGATCCCTTCTGTTGGACGTGCGACATTCTATAGCCTCATCCACTAGTAGAGAGTTGTATTATTTCTATGTCAAAACTGCTATAATAACAAAACAAGTCAGGCAGATTCATCACAGTGTGGATATGTGAACATTTTGAAAAAAATCAAAAAAATCTAAGAACTGACTACTTAATCATGTTTATGTCTTGGTGAGCTCGAACTAGTTCAGATAAGAAAACGAACTAAAGTAAAACATACAATTTAAAATGAGTATCTTCATAGACATATGATGTTGACAGGGACAGGGACACACTAACAAAGAGGGTTACATAGAGATGGCAAACAATGTGTCACAGGTATCACATACCTGATTGAGTCGTTGTTCAGCTCGATATTAACTCTTTATTTCCTCAAACCTGAAGAGTTACATGTACAAGAACATATATATACAGGTTTATTAATGGTCAATTCATAATCAAATAAACATATGTTCAAAATAACGCGAAACATAAATTATATAAACGTTGTTCGTCTATGATTAACATGTTAGCAAATTGTAGTTAGAGTTATTCATTCTGAGATAAACATGTATTTAATAACGATTTTATCGATGATACAATTTCATCGTTTTATCAACAAAAGTAGCACAAATCAATACTAAGCTTTCATAATCTAAGTCACATAACTTGTAATGGAGGATTCCTCCTTGTGGTAGGTGAATTATATTGTAATCTGAGAAGGAATATCAATAAAGTTATCTGTTAGGATGGAACCTTTACAGGTTTTACATGTGGCTTCGGATGTGTCCGCGCTGCAGATACACAAAAATCCTGAAGGAATTCTTAAAGCATGAAAACTCGATATCCCTTTTAAATCGTAAACTTTTGTTACATTTGATATCAACAGTTATCACGAAACCCGTAAATACAAAATCAAACATTCCTTATGCCGCATCATTTCTGTATAAGCCTAGCAAAATCATATATAAAAAATTAAAAGATGGAAACTGAAAATCGATTCGTTACAATCTTTTGATTGCAACGGTACATTTCAGGTTTAAGATTACGTATTAATAGTATTTATATACTTTCCATTTGCAATCATTATTTAATGTAATAGACACTATGCTCGCGGAATAGGTGTGAGTAAGGGTGCATATTGAATGAGGGACATAATTGTACATGTATCAAACTTAGACAAACGAAATCGGCAGTAGACTTATTTTTTGTATCATTGAAATCAAAATAAACAAAGGAGGGAAGGATCTATTACAATATTGTCTACGTATATTTGTTTTCTACAATACATAAAGGCTTAAGATAACCCTATATCCTAATCTGACTCACACATCAGTTAAAACGCTAACGATGTCGGTATGGTGATTATCTTTGTTTATTAAGCATACATACATCATAGTGAACGTTGCAATAACATGTCCTCAATTAAGGAGGGGGTTTATTCAACATGCAGCTTTCATTCAATATCTACAGACCATAGATACAGATTCATACTTAAAAACTATCTTTTAATTATACAAGATAATATAACTCTTTCCTACATAGGTCGGTCGGTGATTTATGATATTGACTCAATATTGATTTTTTTATTTTATAGTTATAATATTCATCAATTATTGATAGGAATTGAGGTTAATATGTGCTAATATGAACATGCAAAGTTATGTTGACTTCGACTTTATATCGGTTAGTACAACTTCCTCAGGTCCATATAACCACAGATTCACCTCCACAGAAGTCACCAATTATTAAATATTATAACTTTTTAAGATATGTTAGTATTACGTAAATAACTAACTGTACATGTGTTTATTATAGTTGACTAGATTCAAAGGAAAACAGGATATACCTAATGTAGAGGATAGTGTCATACAATGTTACATACTTATTTTGATTCAAAAGACACCAAGTGAAGAATAAATCAAGGTAACATTCTTTTATTGATTTTACAGACATCTTGGTCGCCAACGTAACACGAAAAGAGCCTGCAATTATCGGTTTCCGGATCTGTCAAGGATTTGGCCTGACCGTTGTGTTCCTAGCGTCCATCTGGCTCTCACTACTCTATAAACTGTGTCTCGTGTGTGGCGTCCTCATCATGGGTGTGCTGGGATACATGATCCTTGAAATCAACAACAACCCAATGACCCCACTGGAACCAAGACCTTTCAATGTCTGATAACCCAATGACCCCACTGGAACCAAGACCTTTCAATGTCTGATGACCCAATGACCCCACTGGAACCTAGACCTTTCAATGTCTGATGACCCAATGACCCCATTAGAACCAATACCTTTCAACGTCTGATGACCCAATGACCCCACTGGAACCAAGACCTTTCAATGTCTGATGACCCAATGACCCCATTAGAACCAATACCTTCCAATGTCTGATGACCCCACTGGAACCTAGACCTTTCAATGTCTGATGACCCAATGACCCCACTGGAACCAAGACCTTTCATTGTCTGATGACCCAATGACCCCATTGGAACCAAGACCTTTCAATGTCTGATGACCCAATGACCCCATTGGAACCAAGACCTTTCAATGTCTGATGACTCAATGACCCCACTGGAACCAAGACCTTTCAATGTCTGATGAGTGGTAAAACAAGGACAACGTTTCACTAGAATGACGGTTTTTGCAAATCTAGGTCATTAAGGTTGCAAGGCTACGTACTAAGTACGCGTAAATAAATTGCATTCCTCTTGGGTCCATTGTAACGCAATGACATGTATTGATAGCGTTTTATGAGGGTTTGATAAATGTTCAAAAAAGGGTTCTTTTTCCATTCCCCAAAACCTCATGAACGGAAAGCATTACCTATTGTGTTGGCCGAATTTCATTGATTAAACAGCGGACGATCACCTTCCTACACAAGTTGTTAGCTAGTCGATGAAATACTGTGTACGAGATAACTTGTGTTTTGAAGCAATGGAACTTCACGAACCATGGCAAGTCGTAAACTAGTCGATAAAACCCATTTACCACGATTCGCTCATCAACAGTTGGCAACAGATTATTGTCTCGCCACAGTAAGTGATCTGTAACTGTTGATGATACGAACGTTATTCCTATACTCTTTGTTAGGTTTAAATACACAACAGTGCTTGTTAGCAGACGTGTGCATATTGTTTACAAAACGATGTGAAGTCGGTTTACTCATCTCGACTTCTGAGGAGTGCTGTTGACAGGTTCATAGAACGACCAAAGCATGGAGAGAAAATCGAGGATTTTCGTAGATCTTAGTACAATGTATAAATAGAATAGATTAAAGTAAATGTATATACAATTTCCATCATGCATTAGGACATTTGCGGATACTTGAGTTGTTTTCACTGTATTCTATTTTTAGAACTAGAGGTTGTTGCATACGAACGGGACCACGTGATATTAAGCACATTATGGGGCTAAATGTCAACCTAGCTGGTATCCCTCATTATGCCTGATCATTGTTGTAATTATAAATATGCACACAAACAGTAATTGAAAACTTATTTTGCGAGCTTTCGAAAACGTCTGTGCAAAGAGTGCAAAAGACTTGTATCTCAACTCTCGCCGAAAACAACTCCATTTCCAACAGTTGTTGAATTTAGATTAGCCTTACTTAAGCCTTCAGCTGCTTTTAGTTTACATTCATAGTTGACATGAATGCTTACGGGAAAATGACATATTGCCATCTCTATTTAGTGGGTTATATAGTTACAATGACATAAGGCAATGCAATTCATTTAATGCATGTCAACATTGAATCATCACTTTTGTTCTTATATTACATAGACAAACACTTTTCGGAAATAACAATGAATATCATCAGATAAGAAACCTGGTAAAATGCTAACGTAAAATGTCTTTTCATACGACGTTAGAATATCGCAATTTTGTTTTAAAATAGTGCAAAAATTAACAGAACCTATTTAGAAAGCCAAACATGTTGCAAAGTGTAAAAAAAGACTTGCTTGAAGTCAAAAAACATCGTGACACATACTTTTTCTCATACATGATTGTCCACTTTTCGTCATTTCGTCAGACATATGTTAGTCGAGATAGATAATTACTCATTTCAGCTGTCTTCTTTGTTTTTGTAATTTAACGTAAAACTCTAAACTCTATTATCATTGACGATGATTAAGCTATTGTTTCCAAGTGTTTTGTTTCTGTTAAATCGTTGTATATTATCAACAAAAATTTTTATTCACAGTTACACACCACTCTCAAAAATAAACATGTAGCTTACGTACTTGCATACTACTCTTAACGTTTCATCAACAAGAAAGTGCCAACTTTTAATATATATGAAAAAAGTATTCGTACACCTCTTATTTCGTTATGGTTTCATACAAATCCGAGTATAGGTGTCCCTAGAAAGAAAACAAAGAAAAGACACTTTTGGAGGGTGTGTTCATGCAAATGAAACTACAGGGTACCAGTATTTAAACCAAGGAGATGTGTTGCACGCTCTGTTTTTTTATATCTCTATGGTAACGTGCAATGATCTTAAACGTAGGATCTCTTTTTATAGAGTTTCAAGGTTTCCTTCGGTTTTTTCTTAAAAAAAATTCAGGGGGAAACCCCTTACTGCTATGTCGTGTTTGACGCAGGTCTGAGAAACGTTGATATTAATCACGATAGGCAGGGGATATTGGAATCTGTACAAACAGTAATAAAGGTGTTCTTTAATGGATTTATTGACGGTACGTCAACGGGGATAATGTTCAAACAAAACAAAATGAACCCAACAAACATTTGACGGTTATAGCATGCCTTACGTCGCCATGCATTTATTAGCTGAATCAACAAGCGGTTTCGACACTGAGTCAATAGTTCTTTACTGCCCAAAGTGTTATGGTATGTGAGTTGCACCATCCTCACAAAGGGCGTTATGTAGAAGAAAGTTGATTTCCCTCTGCATGGTGTAATGGTGTAGATGAGGCCATAGGGTGTTATGTTGCAGGAAGACGCCATCACGGTAACCAAGACTGCCTACCCACTCAACTCATTCCATCGATCGATGTTTATGTTCACTAAGGATATACTGTTTTGTGTAAATTAATACGGGGCCATCCAGATATATTACTCGACCACTGTAGGCGTGTTATCGTCTGAGAGGACGTCGATAGCGGCCGACCAGTATTTGTTTTCTTTTTGTCGTCAGTCTACTTATTTACTGAATAACATTACTTTTAATATGCATTACATTTTGACGGTGCATATTTCCTTGGTTTTGAAAAATTACATAATTACAATAGATAATGCAGTATTAATACATTAAATTAATGCTAGTGCATGCGTATAGCTGTATTTATTTGATACGACATAAGTTAGATAATGTGATTAATCATACCAAATAACTTCAGGTAAAATAGCTAAAGTACTGGGTGAAGGGTTGTTGTTCAAAACTGTATTGAAATTAAATTGTAATACAATGAGAATAAACGTTAAATGCGAATGCACATCAAACTGGCAAACGAGTTTGAATACCGTAAAGAAAGTTTTAAATGTTTTAAATGTTTTTAACACTGTTACATATCTGCAACAATTCATAAATCAAAGGCAATGTATTGTTAGAGTTTTTTTGCTGTGGCGTCTGTGGAATCATGCATGGTCATCCGACCCGAATATGTGTGAACTGTCACCTCTGTGGAATATGAATCGCGGACCCGAATCCCCCAAACTGTCCCATCCCCCATCCCATTTTCTATCTTTCATGTTAGAAATGCATTCATACCAAAACATATTGTTCTCACAACATCGATAACCCCGCAAGTGTTTCTCTTAAAACGTACACATACAGAACAGAGTCATATATCAGATGGTGAAGTATGTCTACAGCCGCCATTCTCTACCATTGTATTTCAATATACGGAGTTTATCGAAACCAGCATGTGACTGTCAATCACGATATAAAATGTGACTTTGAAAGGGAAAACGAAACTAATATATTGATTTTCTGTATGTGAATGTAAAGAATTTGGCACAAACATAGAGCATGAGAAAAGATATTAAAATTAGTTGCATGATGTAAGGAGGGATTTTTGTAGTCTACTGTCGCGGAATTAGTTGTATACTTACTGGTATCAGCTGAACGGTACTTTAAATTTACGTCCTGATATAGAAAATGGAACATAAATATTTTGGTATTGAAAAGAAACGTTATTAGACATGGAGACACAATTTGACATTAAAAACCTACGGACACTGAAAATACATCAGTAAATGTTCGGAACTAATTTATTAAAAAAACACCTGGATGGGTATTGAAGAAGTAAAGAAGGGATACAGTGTGTACCTTATGGCTGGTGGTGTGCATTGAGGATTCGTGCCTGGTAGGCTGGCGTGAGGGGGGGAGGGGGGGATGGGAGGGGAGGGTGTACATGTCAAACAAGACAAAGACTTCAGTCTGCTTTTCAATCTGCATATCTCGTGACAAAAAAAAGTTATTCTAGAAAAATCGATTCGATTTAATGTTCTGGGAAGATACATTTTAAATCGCCGATATGGGTTTTGTTGGCAAAATGAATATGAATGTTGCCATATTTCACTCTGCGAGGTGACACTAGTTGTGTGGTGATTTGCATATCATTTACAAATGGGGCTTAAGTCAGTGTATAATTGAACGTATTGATACATTTTACCTTATGGTGCTGTAACGTAGCAGTCCAATGTTATTGCATCATAATTTTTTCATTAAGGTTATATGTTTTTCCTTTGCAAATTAAGATAGCATATCACTTTACAATATTGCTATACAGCAGATTTCCATTACGTCTAGTATGACAGAAAGTTATCGCTTATTTGCCTTAATTATTTTACATCGATTTTGCCACCTTCCTATTTTCCAATCAACGATTTAATAATCTACCACGTAACCTTATGTATTTTAAGTATCCGCTTCCATAGACAAAATTCCAGTGTATGTTTCAATTTTCTCGGGGGAAGCCTCCAGGACAAACGCATGGCCAATGCTGTCTATTTGGACATGTGGCACGTGATATAGTAACACCTAGGTGACATTACATATTTTCACATATGTAACGAAGTATATTAACAATATTTCACGTGGTCTTTCAACACATATGTGACATTATATATTCACACATATATTACATGATATATTAACATACCTCACATGCGATATTATGACAAATGCCATTTGATTTGTCAACAAAGACAACTACACAAAGTCAAACATTAATTTTGAATACTCAACCTTTCATTTAAAGCTTATACGCGAAAACAAGAATAACGAAGGTAAATCTGTGTGAACGGTTATAAGTTAAAACATAACAAACGTAAAAATATTTTGAGAATATATTCCTTTCAAAACATACAAAACTTTAGTAATGATTTTTATCGATTTCAATGCTATTATTTAATCCATTTTTTCTTTTTAATTATGTTTGTTTCTAACGCAGCTGCATTTAAGTGCTTTTATATTTGAGTAGTTATTACAGTGATATACCTAGATGGAGTTAAGCATTATACCCCTCGGTTTTTACACGTTTTACCTAAAAACAAAGTACCACAAAGTAGTCAGGCTTAACTAAAACACATTATCATTAAGTCATAAAAGAGTACCCATGAGTTGTTGAATCTTATAAAGATATAAATGTTGCAACGCTTATTTCTCATTGGCTGTTATGAGTTGTAGTAATGCCATTCGTATATCATACATACTGAGTAATTGTCAATGTCAACTGTGATTAACGGTAATTGTACTTAT